GCCCTAGTTAAATGAGACCTTTTATTCAAGAATCCCTGCAGGACCCCTCCAACAATGGGACTGCATTAGGTGACTGGCCTAAGTCATTTGGGGAGGAGTAGAGGGCTGGTAGAGTCCCCAGCCCTGCCCCTTTCCACAGGTTTCCACAACCCTTTCACCTGGGTTCAAAGCCAGAGACAGCAGAAGTCCCAGGCAGGGGTGATGAGGGATGAAGCTGTACTTTGCCACCTCCCCGCAGATGGAGTGAACAGGATTTCCAGTGTAACCCACGATGACATCCAGATTAAACGGGCCCCAGGCTGTGAGGCAAAGCTAGGAGAGGGCTGCTTCAGGGGGTGCTTATATTGCTAGAGGAATGGCTTTCAAGAAGAGGAAAAGCAGTTCCTCCTTTGGAGGAACTGACGGCGCCCCCAGAGGAGCCACGGCAGACACCTTCACGGGGCAAGGAGTCTGGGGAGGGCCTCCCTGACCCTGGCCTTGGCCTCGGCCTCTTGGAGTCAGCCAGGTTCACCCCTACCCCTGCAGTTAGGCCCTTTTACTGAGGGCATTGGGGCACAGTGGCCTCCCTGGTGATATCATCGCACCCACAAACACCAAACAATCACTATCGGCACCCATACACTCAAAACACACACTTCCACATACCAAGCACAAATAAATGTAATCAATACCACCTCTATGTGAATGGCCACACACAACACGACACACAAACACACAAGCTAACGCAGTCCTACGACGCAGCCCCACACACCCAAACACCCCTTCGTTAGTCCACCCCCATCCACTCGTCCTCTTCTTGACCCTACCAAAGGAAAGGGAGTTTCCAGGAAGAAAACAGAGACCTTTGCCCTCAGAAAGAGCCAGGGATCAATACTGTTTAGACTTGGCTAGTGTGTATTTCCTCCTGGGCTGAGGAAGATTTAAGTTTATGGTTCAATCCAATCTTAAAAAAAAAAAAAAAAAAAAAAAGGTAGAAAATGAGGAAGTTGGGATAGCACACTCCAGTATTTATTTTGATGCAGCCCCAGACTTTAATACACCGGCAGCTGGCTAAGCCAGCCCCATAAATCAGAGAAATCGATGCCTGTTTATGTTTATTATTCCTTTCTTTTTTAGCAGGGGTGCACGAAAAGAGGTATGACCAGAGTCCTCCTTCCCTCGTCTCTGCCCCAATAAGGAGGATTTTCCAGTGGGGAAGGGGAAGAGTGAGAGAAGATAGGAAAGTCATTCTGGACGATGACTTCAGGGCCTTGGTCAGATTCCTCAGAAAAAGGCAGCTGTAATGAGTAGATGTGACAAAGAGGGAGACACAGGGGCACAGAGGAGGCATGGACCAAATGTTTAAGTTCTCAGGGCTTCAGTTTCCTCCTCTGAAAAATGAAGGAAACTCTAATTACCCATAGAGATTGGAAGATAAAAGGAGATAATGGGCCAGAAATCAAATTACATAGTAATGACACATCTATACACTTTACTAGTATAATTGTGGGGAGAGGTGACCACCTCCTCGCTCTTCCCCGGGGTGAAGAGAGAGAACTCTTGGCTTTGATCTCTTGCTAGAGATAAAGAGGAGCCTCAAGGAACAGGACGCTTCTTGGAGTTGCTGCTCAAGTTGGCCCCTGCCCCAGGCTCTGGATCTAGCGATCTTGAGGGGCGTAGGTACCCTAACGGGCCACACTGAGGAAGGGAGAAGGAGGGCAGCCCAGTTTCCAGGCATCCAGAACAGTAAGCTTCTCTGTAGAACTGGGCACCCCCAACATCGTACCTGGATGTGGCCGGGAAACTTCTTGATATTCTGAGCTGTCTGGATTCGGGAAGGGGTACCCTGGGCCTCAGGTCTCAGACCCCCTAACCCAAAGCTCTGGAGAGCCTGGAGATTCCAGGCTCCTCCCCTGCATCCACCTTCCCGAGAAAAGCAAAGTATGTACTTCCAGCCACTAGAAAACAACTCAGCTGGGCCATCCCCAGGGAAGAGCCCACCTCACTGCTTCCAACCCTTCACTCAAGGATTGGGTGAGCACCTATTATGTGCAGAGGTTACTCCATCCACCCCAGAAAGGTGTGAAAGGAATAGAAGAAAGAGATTTACTGCAGTAAAGTTGGGAACCCATGGCAATGTCAAATATGCTCTCCAACTCCAGGTCCCTGAGCCCCAACCCCCCAAGGCCTTGACCAGGGACTTCAACGGTCCTTTGGCTTCCTAGACCTGGTACCTGGCACTGTCACTTCCCCCAGACATAGGCCCAAATCAGGGGGAATTTTTCAAGAAAAACGGCAGACTGACTGGTCATTCCCACTTCTCACAAAATCAGTCCAACAAAGAGGAAAGAAACCCAAGGGAAGAGCACAGAAGCAGAGTTCCCACGTGTGCACAAACACACCTGCAAACACAAATAAGCACATGCACACACGCTGTGGACTCACAAACATCCAAGTGTGCATCTAATTACAGAGACATGAACACCCAGTTGCATAATGCTCACACATGCAGGAATACACAAAACCCCGTGCGGTACTCAGATGCACCAATATCTATCTACACGTGATCACATATACACATGAGGTTTTCGGGACATCTACATATCTGGCCACACGAGTACAGGTACATACATACATACTACAGAAGACAGGGGAAAACAGAGAGAACAGAATTTACCATTCAAAAAAAGTCCTGGAGCAAAGGGAGATAAGAAGGGACCTCCTCTTCCTCCCCCTAGTGCCTGAATGGCGGGGTCCAGTGGCTACCCAAGAAGGCTAGGCACCAGGGTCTGGGGCAAGTGTCCAGACATTTCCCTCTCTGAAGTCCGGGGGTCCTGGGGGTCCGGGGGGCATGTGTCTGCGCCCCTCTCGGTCAGAAACCAAGCCAGGCTTTGTTGGGATTGTGAAAGGGCCCCTGCTTAGGCTTTGGGTTAGGGGCGAGTCAGGCCTGTGCCCACGTCGGAGGTCGCGGCGCAGAGCGATCCGGCAGCTGATCGAGGGGCTGCCGCTCTGCATAGCTTCCCAGCATCCGGGCCTCCTCTCCCGGTTTTACGGAGCCAGGAGCTCTGAGCCCCGCGAGGCTCGTGTGCCGCCCTCGACCAGCCGTTTCGTCAACGAAATCACTTCTCCAAACGAAGAGCGGGAAGTCCAGGCAGCCCCGAGGCGCCCCTCGCTCAGGAGGGGAGGCAGCCCCTCACCGCTGCCCCGCCCTGGGAAGGCCTTCTGCTTCTAGAGGAGAAAACCTCCAGCAAAACTCGCATCAGGAAAAAACAGACAGAGAAAGAAAAGAAGTAAGCTGGAGCGAGGAGCAGGTTGAACCAGAGCAGGCTGCAGCCGGGCTGGTCCTGGCTCTGCGCGGGAAGCAGCCCAAGAGCCCGGCAGTGTGTCCGAAGTCAGAACTGGGGGGTTCCGGCCTTTGGGATCCTTTCGAGGCAATCGGAGACCAAGAGTGTCCCTCCAGACCCTCCAAACCCGGGCCATCCCCGGGTCTGGGCCGCCCCTATCACCGCGCCCCGCTGACGCCCCGTATTCGTTGTGTGGTGATGGATCTTAAGGCTGGGCCGAGCCGCCGGGGCTCCCAGCCCGGTGAGCGCGCTCTGTGCGCCGGGCCGCCGTGTGCCTGCGCCCTCGCCCTTCCCCAGCCCGCAAAGAGGAGGCCCGCCAGCCGCTCGTGAGCACAGTGTACACTTTATTTCAGACTACAGGTTTCTGAACATAATAAAATCTTTGGCTTGTAGCGGCGGTTCAGTCTCGCAGTCTGTGGGGTCGTATTTCTCAACAAGTCTCCGGAAAACGAAAGGGGTGGAGGGCAGGACAGACAGACCGACAGAGGGGGCCGGGAGAAGGGCAGACACGCGAGGAAGCACACTCTCACGCACACAAAGAAAAGTCCCAGAGAAACGAGGGCCAGCGATGCGGGGCGGGAGGCACCGGAGAAGCAGTAACATTCAAAAGAAAACGAAACTGGGCCGGGGGCAGCGAGGCGGAGGCGGGGGATAAAATAATTATAATAATTATAATAATTATAACAATAATAATAAAGGAGATTAATAAAAAGTCCAGCAAATAGAGATCGCTACACATAATTCTTTTCCTTACCTGAAATTAAATATATACAAGGTCGTAAGCGGTTTGGCTAGATAGAGCTTTAAGGAGTTCGCAGTTTCGTCCCTTATACTGTGAAGAGAGAACTGATCTGATTTTTCGATAGCACCTGTCCGAGTCTTTCTCCCTTTGGAAAAATGTCTCGTTCCAACGCGACTCTCCGTCCTGGGGACCCCTTTCTCTCTCTTGTCCGTGTTGTTCCCTTCCTCCTCCTTTGCGCTGATTATTTCTCCCCGGGCGTGGGGCCGGCAAGGCGGCGGTGGCGGTACCGGGAGGGGGCGCGGGCGCGGCGGCCGGACCGCGCGGCCCCTGCCGGCGGCGGCTACTCGCTCTCGTCTTTGTCCTGGACCGTAGTGGTTGAGTGGTTGTATAGTCCCTGCGCCATGAGGTGCAGCGCCAGGCCGTTCTTGATGCCCGTGGCTTTCTTGATCTTGGCGCGCTTGTTCTGGAACCAGATCTTGATCTGGGACTCGTTGAGGCTGAGCTCCTGGGCCAAGGTCTGCCGCCGCTGCTCGGTGATGTAGCGGTTCGCCTGGAACTCCGCCTTGAGTCTCTGCAGCTGCTCGGCCGTGAACGCCGTCCGCGGCCGCTTGTCCTCCTTCTCGTTTTTCTTCTTCTTTAGCTTTCTGGTGCGCGGACCTGCAGCGGCGGAGAGGACGGGTGGGAGGTGGGGACGGAGGGCAGAGGGGAGGGGGAAGAGGGCAGAAGAAGCCGTGAGAATTGCGGAGCCGAGCGGGGATCGCGCCCCGCGCTTCCTGGGCGCCAGCCGAGGCCCCGCTGCCGCCGCCCCCCATCTATCACCCTCGCCCGCTAGCCCCTAGATCCATCGGCTGGCTACTGGGGTCACTGGGTTCCCCTCTGGAATGCCCGAAGGGTCACGGAGGCAAGTTGGCAGAAGCTGTGTGTGCACCCACACCCCAGTTCAGCACAGGAGAGCCGTGTGATAGGCTTAAATCACAGAGTCCAAGATGGAGAGATATTTGGAGCTCCATCCGGCCCAACCCAGAGTTGGAGATCGGGGGGCCTGCTGTCTTCACAGTCCCGGAATAAAGAGAGGCTCAACACTGCAGTAGTAAAGACACTAGGACGGGATTGCCCTGGGGAAATCGCCAGCCTGAAAGCCAATCCTCTCCCCCTCCTCAAGAAGCACACCTACACCCACACACATACAACAAGACCCCATCTGCTTGTAGCTATTGACTCCAGAAAACAAGGGGATAAGGAGGGCGCTGTGAGAGACCTGTCTAGCTCCAAAGTATTCAGCATCTGCTCTCTCGACCTGTTCTTCTGTCCCTGTGGCCTAAAACGAAGCCCTTTATAGGGTCCCAGGAAGACGCTGACCACCCGTTTCCCTGAAAAGGGAGAAAAGGCCTTCACCCAGTTGTATGCCTTACCCACATGCCCTGGCCCCTGAGTTCTCTGTTTTGTCCCTTGGATGGTGCCAGTAAGAAAGAGAGGGCCCTCCCCATTCCTGCACCCAGCAGCACAGGCAAGTCTCCCTCATCTCTCTTTTGGACACAGAAGCTGCAATTTCAGGATTGAAGACTGAATAACAAAAGCAAGCCAGAGCTGCTTTCCCTGCCCACCTATTTGCAAGGTTATTTATCCACGAGCAAAACAGGGGCAGAGGGACACAGAGAGTGGGGCAATCCCGACAAAAATCTGTGCTTTGCCTCTAAGATGGGTATAGGAAGAGGCCACAGGAAACCTTCCTAGGAAAGTGAAGTGTCCCTCAGAACCTAGTCTGCGAAGAGGGCTGCTATGGAGCCCAGCCCTGAAGAGAAAAGGGAAAAGACAGGAGGCTGACTCTAAAGCCTGCACCTCTGCCCATCAGCCTGCACACCCAAGTCTCCTGGAGCTTCCTTGCTGGGCCCTGTCACGGTTATGGGAGCTTCCTGAGTCAAGTGAAGTCCCTGTCAGAGCTGTTAACCTCTAAAACTGTCTGGAAGAAGCATCTTCCCCGGCATCTCCAAACCTAGCAACAGAGGGGTAAACTGGGTGGCTGGCTTCTGGGGCAGACCAGCGCTGGGGTCACCAGCTGTCCTGTGACAAAAGAGTCCAGGCCTGGCCGCCCCGCAAGTCCGGGCTGGGGTTCGTCTCCCCGAACTGCTCATGCAGGAGAAGGAGCCAGCACCCTGCCTCCCCAGGCACGTAAGAAGAAAGCAGCCAAGAACAAAGACAAGGCCCACTCCTGAGCCCAGTGCAGAAAGCACTGGGAGGCGGGTTGGGACGGGAGGAAGGCCTTGGTTTAGTGTAGTCATTAGCCTAGTGAGTAGAGATGGCCCAGGAAATGTGTACATCCTCAGAAAGCCCCTACTTGCGCATTGTGCGTCCCGGACGTGGTTAGAGTGTTGTTGTTGGTGTGTGTGTGTGTGTGTGTGTGTGTGTGTGTGTGTGCGCGCGCGCTCGTGTGCGCGCGCGCGCGCAGAGGGAGGAACACTTGTAATAAAATCGTAGCCTCCTGGCCAGCCCGAGCCTCACGGCCTGACAGCTCAATCACTCTATCCATCAGGCGAGTCAATCAAAGCAGCTTTTCGGAGGTTCAGGGAGCCCGAGTCAATAACGGGGCTCGAGATGGCGGGGGCTGATAGCGAGCATCGATCCGCGCCCAGCCGGCAGCGGTGCGGAGGCGGAGACCAGCCAGAGTAGAGCGGTGCACCGCTACGCCGTACCCTGCCTCCTGCCAGACCCAGGTGGCCGGAACCCCAATCGGAGGCCAAGAACCCCTACCGCCCTCCTCGTGGCTCCCACCGGTCTCCCGGGAGCTGCAGTCCGGGGAGGCGGGCAGGCCGCAGCCTCCTCTCCCGGGGCCTAGCGGCTGTCCCACAGTAGGTCTCAGATTGGGGTTCTCGAAGCGCAAGGAGTATGTGGGTAAAGGGCCAAAGGAAAATCGAGAAAAACGGGCCTATGGCTGACAGAAATCTGCTATCTGGCAGACGTGCGAAAGGAAGGAGTGAAAGAAGGAAGGGGCAGGGCCGGGAGGATGTGCGAGGCGCGCTTCGGAGAAGCTGGGGCGGAGGGGTCTCTCATGCCCTCGGCCCAGCTTTCTGACCTGAGCCTGACCTGTCTTCTCTCCCACTGTCTGTCAGCTCTAGAAAACCAGGGGCCAGGGGCTCTCGGCACCCACCGTTTCAGCAACTGCCCTCCCCTGAATTCCACCCACCCGGGTCAGACTCTCTTGGCTACCCGGCCTGGGGAAGAGCGACAGCGATCTGATGCGTTTCTCTCTCTTCCTGTGTCTCCTTAAAGCTATCTCTATGCAAGTGAGCTCTCCGCAGAAAATATCGATATGGTGTTTGGGTCTGTAAGAACACAAAGTGAAGATTATTACTCTAATGACAGCTTTGTTCGATTTCGGCCTCCGCAGGGCGAGGCTGGCGGGATTTCAGACCCAGATTTCTAGGCCCACCTTCTCGCTAATTCTAAAAACCCCTTTCCCTGGACGGAAAACCAATGATGCTTGTGTCTTTCCTAAGAATAATAAAGGTAAAACATAAAGAAGGCCGGAAGGGCTCGGAGTTCAACACCGAAGGATCGAGCTTCCCGTGCCCTGAGCTGTAGCCTCCCGGGAGGTGGCCGCCGAATCCAGGAGCGCAAAACTGGGTGCAATGCTCGACTGTGACTGGGACCGAGGTCAAGAAGGAGGAAGCAGGCGTGAGAGAAGAGAACGCCCGAGATCCGTCATGCTCTCCCCAACCCGGAGGCTAAGAGTTCTAGGGGCGGCGTCCGCGGAGCCGAAAGGCACGGCACAGCCTGGGGCTGGGTACTCACCGGAGGACGGACGATCCGAGTAACGCGTGCAGTAGACCCAGGCGGGCCACACGAGGGGCTGCTGCGAGTCAGTTTTGACTACGGGCCCGCCGTTGGCTGAGCCCATTAGCAGGATGGCCGGGTTGCTGTGCTCCGGGTACTTAGCCCCCTGCGCTCCCGGGCTCCCCACGCCGCCTCCACTGCCACCGCCGCTGTCCGAAGGTTTGGCCGCTGCTGCTGCCGCTGCCGCTGCCACGGCCGCCGCCGCCGCCGCCGCCGCCGCCGCCGGGTTCCCAGCTTTGGACGCACCCGCTCCGCCGGCGGTGGCTGGCGGGGAACCGTCGGGTGGGCCACAGTTCGCGTCCGGGGCGCACAGGAGTGAGGCGGCACCTGGCGCCCTCGTGCCCAGCGGGTGGACAGGGTCTCTACCTGCGCCGGTCTGGCCTCTGTCACGCTCGACCCGACCTCCTCCTGCGCCTCCTCCGGCCGCCGCCGCCGCCGCCACCAGGAGCTGCCGCGGGGGGCACA